AAGAATAGCTTCAAGAAGACCCTCAACGTGTCTCACAACAAAAAAATTTAGAAGTGTCAAATATGAGAAAGATATGCTTGAAACGATATTTCTCAAATGAGGAGGAGAGAAGAATTAATATAGAACTTGCAAAGTTCTTTGGATATTTAGAGGATTTTGGCGATCAAGAATCTTTGGTTGATAGATGGATGATGGATCCAAAAATATGGTGGTTGATTCATGTAGCTTCAGCACCGCTTCTTCAAACCATAACAATAAAACTTCTTGATCAAGTATCATCCTCTTCCTGTTGTGAGAGAAATTGGAGCACATACTCATTTATTTAATCAATGAAGAGGAATAAAATAACTCCACAACGGGCTAAAGATTTAGTTTATGTTCATACAAATCTTCGTCTTCTATCAAGGAAAACCCCACTTTATATGACAGGTGATAACAAGATGTGGGATGTTGCTGGAGATTAAGCCTGAAAAAAAAAAGCCTTGTCCCGCCGCTTATGTAAACCCTTCCCGCCTAAGTCTTCCACTCATAAGAAAAAAAAAAACTTTTTAGTCCCACACCGTGAAAGACAAAAATATTTTGCTTTATATAATAAGACATTTTGACAAGGTTAGTAAATGTGTTGTATGGTCCGACCGGTGGTTGTGAGTATACGGCTAGTACTATGATCAAATTATTTTAAAGCTCATGAACAGGTCTCGTTATACGATTTGGGACGAAAAAAGAAATATAGATATATAATAAAACTATTTTGATTTAATAGATAATAAATGACTCATAAATATACTTAATTAAAAATTATTAATAAAGTCAGTGGGGGTATGTGCCCCCATGCTGCATCCGCCCCTACCTCCGTCGAATCCTGCGAAGATGCTGCACAGCCGCCGTCGATCAAGAAGCCAACCCTTCGACGCGAAAACGGTTATGAGAAATCGGAGCCGGTTTTCCGGTTCAACGGTCGAACCGGTGGTTCGAACGGTCTGAGACCGATTCGACGCGAAAACGGTTCTCAGGCGAACCGTAACCAGCCGGCCAGCCGGTTCGCGGTTCAACCAGTTGAATCGGCCGGTCCGGTCCGGTTTTAAAAGCCTTGATGACAGGTGATAACAAGATGTGGGATGTTGCTGGAGATGGATTTGAGTGCCTTGATGATATGAGATTATTGGAGGTCGCAAATCTTTCTCTAGATGAACCATAGTTGGAAGCAATGATATTCAATGATGATGATATTGAAGGCCAAAGACCAACATTTGAATCTAATTCTATCATTCCCTCTATTAAGTAGTTGGACTTTCATGTTGTACTAAATGATTTTTTGCTTATATTTTTGTAGTTGTACTAGACATTTTGTACTAACATTTTTATGTTATAAGCTAAATAAGTTATCATTATTTGATTTATTATTGCATGTCATTTTTAATATAATGTTACCTTAATTTTTATATATTATATTAAAAAATTATTATGCCTTGTCCACGTCGCACCCGTATCCTATTTTTAAAAAATGTCGTGTCCCGTGTCCGTGTCGTGTCGCCGTGTCCATGTCGGTACATCATAGGTTCAGCTTTGCTCTCTAACCAATACTAATCCTTCTAAGGACTACATTCGAGGGAAAATCGATAGGTTTGTGATCCCATATCATGACATTAGGAGATAGTAATTGACCGAGACATATATGCTAGGTTGTTCACTCGCTCTCATCGGCTGTCTAATTATGATTCAAAACTTCTCGTAGGACATGACCCTGCAGATTAGGTGATCACCCTTGGACTGCGTCATAGTGACAGTAGTTCCCTGAAGTGTATTGTTGAGGGCTTGAGTTATGGTGAACAGGATGTATTGCAGCCTATAGCAAACCTCGTCAAGCATATTAGTATCATCAGATTATTGAGTTATAGTTTGTCACGTCATGAGGCTGAGGAGCAACAGTATAACTTCGCATTTGGTAGCCCACTCCGGATGTTGAGGGGCTATGTTTGCTGGGCCCAACATATTTTGAGAGCACATCAGGGGGTGCTCAATCAAGCAGGTATTTACAAAGTTGTTTACGCCTCATTGTTTGATTACAATCGGTTGTCATATTCTTGATTTCAGGGGCTAAATGAGCACTAGGACAGTGTCACAAACATCTGTCGAATTGGGCCGAACAAGATGGCGATCACACTTTGGGAGCTACAATTGATTTATGGCCTGCCTATTTTGGTCATTTCTTTTGAGGAGTGTATTCCTCCGAACTACGACATGTTCAGCCATCAGCCAACTGGTCGGTTGAGGTGAGCGGAGTTTGTTTATTCGGATAGATTTCACCAGAGTTTAGCTCACTACTGTCGTCTTCACAGGCAGAGAAGTCGTTGTCGTGGGGCTACTGTTTATTTGGATGTCATGATCAAGAGTTTATTGATTCAGGAGGCGTATTTGTTGCAGACTGCTCAAGTCTACAACCCTTTTGGCATATTTTTTAATATAACAAGCATTTTCAACTGAGTTGTTCGAGCCTAGATTGACAGCATGAACGCAGATAGTTACCTTAAGGAGGATTTCATAGGAGACATCTTTAGTAGCTTTTCTAGCCACATGGATGTGTTACTTCATTTTTCCTGATGAGGGCAGGATCTTTCGTTCCAGCACTCTCTTGATGGCCACTTGATTGACAGTGGCAGGCAGGTTTTATTGGCTCTGGCAGTGCTTACGCAGATGTACAGTGGCTTTGGTCAAATTGTCGTTTCCTGCGGAAGCCACCAGCGTGTTATTGGGGTCAACTACATGAATCTTTTTTTTTCATTGTGACTTATTAAGAGTCAAATTCTCATTTAACTCTAATAAAAAATATAATTTTTAATACTTTTTTAACTAATTCTCTTTAGATCTACATCTATCTTGATTAACATAGGTTAGATCTAATACATATACTCTCCTAACATGATCATCGGAAGGCCGATGCATTATGTGACCAAACCATCTAAGGTGACTCTCTTTAATCTTACCTTCCACTGGAGCTACTCCAACCTTTTCACATATATATTTGTTTTACATTCTATCACTAAGTGTAAAGCCACTCATCCACTTGAGCATCCTAATCTCTGTGAGACTTAACTTAATTTTATGCTTATCTTTAAATGGCCAACAATCTGCACCATAAAGCATTGCAGGTCTCACCACCATCTTATAAAGTTTTCCCTCTAAGTCTACGTGGTACTTGGTATTATACAATAAGCTCGATGAATTCCTCCACTTCAAACATCCAACTTGAATTCTACTAATAATATCCACACCTATTTCACCATTACTTTAAACAATAGACCTGAGAGGCTGAGATACCTAAAATGTGCACTCTTTTTAATGACTTCATCACTCAATACCACAATCTCACACTAGATCAATTGTTACTAAAATTACACTTCTTATATTTTATTTTAGATTTACTCAAGTGAAAACCTTTAGATTTAATGTTGATCTCCATAATTCAATTTTTCATCAACTCCCTCTTAATCTTATCAACAAGAAGAACATCATAAGCTAACAACATATACTAAGGTACATCCTCTTGCAAATATCTAGTAAGAACATCCATGACCAAAGCAAAAAAGATATAGGCTTAAAGCTGATCTTTGAGGTAATCCAACTGAAATAAGAACCAAAACTTGTGTTTGAACACAAGTAACAACTCCTGTATCCATATCCTTGATGACTTGAATATAAGCATATTAACTCATTTCTTTTCCAAAACTCTCCATAGCACTTCTCTTGAGACTTTATTATATGCTTTCTCTAAATCAATAAATATCATATGTAGACCCTCCTTACTCTTTCTATACGTCTCCATCAAACCTCTCAACAAATATATACCTTCCATAATAGACCTATTTAGTATGAATCTAAACTAATTTGAGAAACATTAGTATCATGTCATAATATATCCTCAATTACTCTCCCATTATTTAATGCATGACACATTAACTTAATTCTTCTATATTTCTCACACTCTTGTGCATCACATTTATTCTTAAAAGATGAACCAACACACTCCTCTACTCATTTAGCATTATTTTAGTCTTCAAAATAATATGAAAAAGTTAATAAGCAAAGAAATTCCCTGATCTCCTAAGGCCTTCTGCATATTCTTTTTAATTTAGCCAAAAGTGATATCAGTTAAGATCAAGATGCTCAAATAGGTTCCCAGCACATCCACTAAGCCAATTAATAACCCACCATGACTACATAAAACCTGGTTTTTTGTCAAACAGTTGTTGATGATTTTGCCAATTTTTCTTGACATGTTATGTAAATGGCATACAAATGATGAAAAAGTAAAGAATCCAAATACCCCAATAAATATCAATGAAACATAGTGGTCTGTTTAGCTACACAAAACACACGAAACTAGAGGAGTTGAGCTTCAAGAACTGGCCCCTTTAACATGAACTCAAAACTTAGCAGAATCATGAAGTTGGTGGATTAGCATATTTTTCAACAAAGAATTTTTTTTTGTATGGATTTGGATCTTAGACCTCCACTTCAAAGATCAAAGTGACTATGCTGCTTGAGAAATGTGGTTAGCAAAATATGTCAACCATAGTGTATCAGTAACACAGTACAACTAAGATCATTTTCTTAATTGGCGCCATTTAGATGCAACTGAAAAAATCAATAAAACTGAATAGTCGAAGGTCACATTGCAACCAAGCTACAGTGCCTGACACAAATGAAAGCCATATCAATAACACCTTTAGTGACCTTAGCACAGTAAAGGAATGGTAGAGATGCCTATATTACATGAAGCCCAGGAAAATGTTGCATTTATTAGCAAAATTTATAAAGCAACAATGATGACTGACGGAAACACAGCTTTTTAGCTAATAAATGAACATCAACTAGAGCAAAACAACATCTATCACGAAGCATGATACATCTCATTAAGGACATTTGACCAGCATGCATAGCAAACCAGTTAAGGCACTAAATTGGTGATGCACTGAACATATTAACACAACATAAACTACCTGTTGGACAGTGCGTCGCTTCACAATCCGGACACCAAAACAGAACACACGAGCATCACGAAAGGATAAACATATTTTGTTACTTCCTTCCCTACTGCATGTCGTAACCTAAGAAGTGAAGCAAGACGAAGTGATGAACTAGCAAGATGATAAAAAAGAAAATCATTTCTATTCTATGATATTTAAATTTACAATATCCTTGTAATATATTCCAAATAAATGTCATATCTCACTTACTACGGGGCCATCATCCCGACCACTTATCCCCAATAACTGTGAATTTACCCTATTTATAGTTCGAATCTGAACACCTGCAAATAAGAGAAATGGCAAGAATGCGCTTGAATTTCTGAAAATAGGCAATGAAATTAAGAAAAAAAAAGATAATTATCCTAAACTCTCTATTATAGCATTACAAATGAAAAAAGAGAAAAATATACTGCAATAAAACTTGCAAATATGCTTCACTTCATCAGGCGCTGCAAAAAATTTTGAGCATGTTTCTCAAACAAGAATAACAAATCAGTCAAGCTCTAAAAGAAGTGAGTTCTACCCATTAGGTTAATAAATTGGATGAATAAGTTTCAAGGTTGTCTGTGGTCTTTTGGTGCTGAATCAATTTAATGGCTCGGTTATGAGTGTAGAAATAAAACTTTCTACTAGGGTTTCAATTTTCACTTGTTTATAGCCACATATATGGAAACTTTAATCCACATCTAAGATGTCCATATGATGAATTTTGAAACTTCTCCAGGCTTTCAATCAGATTAAATCAAATTTGCTAATTAATCACTCACTTTACCTTTCCCACTATACATGTCTCTAAGGAATGTTTTTTTCCCAAAGAAACTAATGCACAGCAGAAGATTATGGCCAAAGCGACAGAAGCAACAAAAAAAATTATCCACAACAATAATGGAGATAAAAAGTTCGGGATATGGAAGAAAAGCAGATGGATTAAACATTTGTATACTGATTTATCTTTCTTTCCATCTTTTTTTCTCTTTCACCATTCATTAAATCCGCCTACCTACATTTTATACGTATTTTCCATATATTTATATCTCTTATCTGCATTGAAGTATAAAGTATAATAGTGTTTAAATTAAGAGCTAAGAATCCCAGTGCCTTGAAGTCACTTCTCAAGCCCAGTTGAGTAAACTTTCCAAAAGGGCTAATACAATGCTAACTACAGAAAGTGAAAGGTCAGCCCCAATTTATAAACATTAAATGGCCAGTAACGGTGCTGACTTCCATACAAAAATTGTGATGCAATCCTAACTATTAAATTTACAACAGAAGCAGCAAACATGTAATTCCAAAATAATTTATGGCAACATTGTAGCCAAATTATAATAATTGACAACAGCAAAGAAGCCTCAATTTTCTAGCTGATAACGAAAATTTTCAGGATAGATAAAGATAAATTGAATTTATGATTATAAAATTTCCCTAGAAAGAAAATTGCCACTATTATTGCTAAATTGGTGAAAATACGGTTGCCTTTGCATACCATTTACTTGTAAATCTGGATGCTGTGGCCATTGCATCCGAAACTGAACTTTATCATTCAGTAGAATACACCAAACCTGCAAGAAGAACTAAGATTGATTGAAAAAACAGTCTAACAAATGCAAGTGCACTATTTAGTAATTGATGTGCTCACCTTAGCTTCCTAAGGAACAAACTAATTATTACATATCCTGACTCACACAGAATAACAATATCCATGGAACACAAGAATAAAATCCTTTGTCTCAAGGTTATATGACCCCCTCATTAGCATGGATTTAAATCCAAAGGTCTAACACAGAGATAAATAGTGGAACTTCCATAGTTCAGATAAAACCTTTTCCTTTCATGGGCATCTTGTTCTTCCCCATCCTTCGGTTTCCATTCTCACTGCCTCCATTTACTCCACTCTGACTTATCCTTCACTCCCTTCCTCTCCCAGTTACAGCTGACGAACACTCCCTTTCTCAGTCTGCTTCTCTTAGCATGCTTTACCCTCCCTCCCATTCTACTTTTCATCCATGATCTCATTTTAATATATTTTAGCATAAATCACTTGGAAACATGCCCAACTAATAATAACATAGCATATTATAGATGGAACTCCATTGTAAGTTAAGGATCAACAAGTTTAGGCTGGATATGGAAGGTCAGAAGGATGGCAAGGGTATGAGACGTGTTCAAGAAAAATACAAATTTGAACCCTTAACGGTAAAAAAAACTTCATGGTGCATGCTAGGCCTAAAAAAATATCAAGTACACAATACTATTTTGGATACATAGATAATAGCCATATAATGTACCATACATACCATAAACACCATCCAATTTAACAATGTTGTGAACTAACTTCTTAAGGGTTATTTTATCAGTATACAATATTATTTGGATTCTTTAGATAATAATCATAAAATGAGCTATGCAAACCATCAAAATTATCCTATTTAAAACAACAAAGAAAATAGTCTGATACAATATCCATGAACAAATTAGAATTTCCCTCTTTACAAAAAGACAACATAATATCCATGAAGTTGGCCAAATTAGATATGCTGGTATCTCAGATATCTCTTGCAAGGCAGTTGGCTAAAAATATTTATGTGCTTACCAATATGCCCATACATGCAGTCATGCATTTTATGTACGTACTTATGAGGTGAGCCTTTGGGTGATGAGTGTTCTTAAGAGTAAATGAAAACATTGCATTTGCATCTGCATGCAAAACTTCACATTTATGTATATGTTATTTTAGAGACTCGATATAGATTGGCACATGTATATGTATGCATGCATGTGCAACCTATGCGCATAATGCTATAATTGTATTCGAATATTTGGGGTTTGCAGTATCCCTCCCTCATTATAACATTTATCATGTGTGTCTACATATGGTCCATGTTTAATAACATAATAAGAGAAGTGCACGATGATAGGCACCACAGTGTAATGCAGGAGTTCAAAAAATCAAATTAAGGTAAACCCCAAAAAGGTAATCCTAGGAAAAACTCATACGTCTACAGAACATTCTTATGAAACTACAACAGTGAAAGTAAACCAAAGGCAACTAAACTCAACCTGTAAATCACAATCAGATCTCTGTAACAATTCTCTGTCCGATCTAGAGAGCTGATACGTTTTGTCCACAGATTGTAGTAGGTTTGAGCTGCAAAACATGACAACCAATTAATACCATAACCAAATGCACTAAATAGCTTTAAGGGTAAAAGAGCTATGATCGTATTTTTTTCAATCAGTCTTCCATAAGTCCAGTGTTCAAAGAAAATGTCTTTATCACACCAATGTAAAACATATGATGGTTGTTACATCTAAGAAAACCCTGCAGTTTTGCAACATTTCATGTAGCCGTCAGAAACAGCACCGCTGGCCCAAATAATAGGTTCCTAAGGCAAAGTGCTAAGCTCATAGCAAATACTAAGGATTCCAGACAACTACAGAATGTTTCATGCACACAACTCAGTAAAAAACCTTAAAGGACCATTTTTATTAGGGAAGTTTCATAGCACAGAACTAGGAGTAAATGATTAAATTAGTCACAAGATTATATAGATGTGTCTATTTTACTTGAAGACTTTTCTTAGCGTCCAGTTCAGTCCCACAACCTATCAAATCCTAACTTTTTTTATCCTTTTTTTCATATCAACCTTGTTGAATTGACGGAATTTGGCACTATAAAACAAGAGCTGAGGGCATTTCAGTCTTTCAAGCTGAATTTTTCATATATCAAGCTTAATTTGGTAATTGGATTGAACTGCTTCTGTGGTGATCATGTTATTGCCATCTCTCTTTAGAAATTTATGGCTGAGTCAAGTTACTGTGTTGCTTATTATTATCAAGGTTTTCGGTTTCGTTGAGCATTGCTTTCATTTAAACTGGACTCTGAAAAGCAGTAGCATCACAAATCAGACAATGCAATCATTAAAATTAGATTCATTAATGGTTCGATACGATGTGGAAGTGGTTAAAGTAGTCTTTATTACATATGTTAGCCAAAGTTTTGAACTTATTGTATGCATATCCTCAAACATGTTTTTATTTTATGCTACGTTTGCATGTAGAAGAAACTGATCTTTGTTTTTATTCTTGGATGTTTTTGGTTGACATGAATATGTATTTCATTGTGGTTTGTGCTAATGGTGAGATAGTTTACTTGAAATGGATTCCAACCGGGGATGATTGGAGCAGAAACTTCTTTTTTAATGTTTGATTGCTCCAAGACTCGCTTGAAGTTAAGCTCATAAAACATAAGAGAGGAAAAAGGTTTAATTAAAACTAGCATGTTTTATAAGTATGCAGTGAACTTCAGAAACAAATTTTCCTACGCATACAACATCTTACCCTAGTATAAAGGTCGATGACACCTCCAGCATTTGCTTCCCCAACTAGTTCCCATCAATTCCACATGGTCGAGATGATAGGACCAAAAAGGTTAGAATTTGATAAATTGTGGGACTAAGTTGGATGCTAAGAGAAGTCTAAGATTAAAATAGACACATCTAAATAGTCTAGGAATGACTTTGGTAAATAACTAATCTATTAATAAGGAGTTGTGAATCATCATCGCCTAATGCCAACTATTTTAGGTTGGCCGCGAATGAAATTTTCAAAGATTTTTCTAAATACAAGTTGAAAGAATTTTTGAAAAATAATAAAGCAGACAAGATCTATTAAAACAAATGAATCAAAAGTAACTAACAATTGCATTGAAGTGGGTATAAAAATTTCCAAAGAACTCAATTTTCATTATCTAAAATATTCTAAACAAAATCTTAGCCCAAAATAAAAAACTCAATCAATAGTCATGCAAGAAAAAAGTATCAAATCAAATATGAAAATAATAAACTACACACTAACATGTTTTATGGAGTTATTTCTCACTTAGAATGGAAAATATTTATTTGAAAATAGACTTTTCTAGCTCCCGTCAATTCCACATGGTCGAGATGATTGGACCAAAAAGGCTAGAATTTGATAAATTGTGGGACTAAGTTGGATGCTAAGAGAAGTCTAAGATTAAAATAGACACATCTAAATAGTCTAAGAATGACTTTGGTAAATAACTAATCTATTAATAAGGAGTTGTGAATCATCATCGCCTAATGCCAACTATTTTAGGTTGGCCGAGAATGAAATTTTCAAATATTTTTCTAAAAGCAAGTTGAAAGAATTTTTGAAAAATAAAGCATACAAGATCTATTAAAACAAATGAATAATCAAAAGTAACTAACAATTGCATTGACGAGGATCATAAAAATTTCTAAAGAACTCAATTTTCATTAACTAAAATATTCTAAACAAAAACTTAGCCAAAAAAAAACTCAATCAATAGTCATGCAATAAAAAAAGTATCAAATCAAATATAAAATGATAAACTACCAATAGATTTAAACTTTTTAGCTAACAAACACATTGATCAATAATGTCTTGAGCCCAAATTAGGACCCTTTTCGAAACACAGTCCCTAAAAAATAGTATTAATTAAAGTTGATGATTCGTTGGGATTAAATGGTTCATGTGATTTGTTGCTCCCATATGTCTTAGCCTGTAAAGACCGGTCTAGCTGGGCCGGTTCAGTGAACCGGCCAGCTTCTATTAAATCCCAATTCAATAGAAGGGGGCAGAATAGACAGCCGCGACCCAGGCGGAACCCACGCAAGACCTTACCAAATCTGGACGGTTTGTTTCACTATTTTAAGCGAACCATTGTGTTTAGTGATAATTTTTACCAACTCCTCTTAACTCCTTATTCCTATCGCTAAAGGAAGTGAAGAATAGGAAGAGACGACAGTGAATGAGAGTAACGACAGAGAGAAAGAAGGAAAAAAGGTATGTTTTCCATTTTTGTATAAGTCTTTTCCTATTTCTTCATCTAATCAGTGAGGAATATTTAATTGAAGGCAAAATAAGAGATTGGAAGTGGAAAGAAGATTATGAGAAAAGAGGAAAGCACTCAGAAATTCTTTACTTCTAAAAGTGGAGTAAAGTAAACTATTAATTAAGTTAGATTTAGATAAAAACTTATATTCTCATTTTCAAATTGAAGAAATTATTGTTGTAGGAAGAATTGAATTACAACAAATCAAATAGTGAAAGAAGGAAATTTGCAAGGAAGGAGTTGTGAGGTAATTTTATATGGAAGAAATCAAATATTTGTTAATTCATTTAAATTGGGATTTAATATTAATTAAATTATTATGTTATTGTGAACAGTTAAAGGTTCTCAATACAAGACAAAGATTAAAAGAGGAAACTAAAGTGGGTAATTATAGTTGTGCAAAATTTCAATATTTTATCTTCATTTCAAATCTGAAAAATAGTAGTTAATATAATTGTTTTACTTCTTTTTAGAGACTCAAGAATGAGGCAATAGAAATTCTAATGCATACATTGATATAGAAATTGTTATAACTAAAAATGATTAAAATATTATGAGAATATGAAGTATATGAATATGTGAAAAAAATATATATATATGCAAAGAAGATACATGTAAAAGAAATGGAAAGTGAAGTTGAAAAGTATACATATATATATATATATATGATATGCATATACATATAATAATGCAAATAAATAAATGTTAAAGAAATGATATAAACTATTAAATATAAATGAATAAATGAAAAAGAGAAAAGTAAATGCATGCAAATTACAGGAGTTCACTCCCGTATGTACTAGCTGTGACACATTAAATGGAAATGGAAAAGCAAATGAAAATGGTTGTACATTTATTGGTACATTTAGACAATGTTCCTATACAAATTGAATTGGAAAATGATAAATTGGATTGGAAAAAGAATAAATGAAAACTTAAAAAAATGTATTGTATATGAATTGTATAAAGGAATGAATAAATGAAATGGAAAATGAGATGCATATACTAAACGTTATATGACTATTTATATAAATTATAATATTGTATACGAAATCAAAAAAAGAATATGCATTGTATTTTGTACAAGTTTAAAGGTTATATTATATAAAGATTACCCACTAAGTTTACTTTGTAAAGTTAACCTATCTAACTAATATTTCATATAAGTATCCAGAGAATTAAAAATGGCTGAAAGAGAGGAGTGCGTCTATAGAATACAGTGTGAAAATGAAAGCAGGTAATTTATGATTTATACAAATCTTAAGTATTTGAGAAAATTTTGTAATAGTGGCTCTTCAGTTGTTTTGAGAAGTTGTATGTTAAATTGTTTATGATATGAATTGAATTGTTACTACCGTCCGACTTTTTGTTCCAACCTCGTTAAGTCGAGTTTCGTGGCTAGGTCGTGATACTCATGATATTCAAAACTTTCAATTGCAAGACATTTGTAAGAGGATGTACCCTTAATTTATGTTTTTTCTAAAAAAACTGGGGAGTGAGTTGAAGGAAAACTTGAATCAAGGTTTAAAATTGCACAAAATCGAGTATTGAGGCGATTTTCATTCATGAGGCAAGGCGTTAGCCTCAAGATCCAAAAAATACATAAAGTAAAAAAAAAAAGGTTAAAAGTGATTTTTTATTAATAATCAAATAATATGTTAAAAGATGCCCTATTAACTTTCTATTGAACTATAAAATTACAAATTAACATACATATGAAATAAAAATTATACAAGTCATAAAATAACAAGTGATACATTGCGTGAAATGGAAATTGAAATCTAAATATCACAAGAGAAAAACAATATAAATATAAGAATTGCATAAAAGTATCATATAAAATCAAGTTCAACTCAAAATTCTTACTTTTCTAGTTCACTACTTATCCATATTTAATTCCTAAAGAAAACTAAAATAGTTGGCAACAACTCAAAAATCTTCTACACTATACTCACTGAAAGGGTTTTTATTTGAGTTGTCGTCATAACAAATTGGTCTCTTCTCTACCTCATCTTTGTAAAGTCCAATGTCTCTCAAACTATTTCTTCATTTATTTCAGTCATCTACCTCTTTCATGAATGTTTGTTATCAACCTAAAGATGAGAGTAATACTCCAAAATTTTTAGACAAAGAGGTCATAGTGGTGTGAGGCTTCGAAGTGATCCCCAACGACAACGTTGGCGGTGGTGGCTGCACCAAAGGCGGCAAGCTGGAGGTCAAGGTGGTTGACAGGATGCTATTACGGCTCGGGAGTGCATGAAGACGTGATTTGTTCGGGGGTTTAGGTTAGGATCTAGGTAAGTTTTAATAATATATATATATGACTTAAATTATGAAGGTCAATCTAAGAGTCTAAAGGTTTTTGTTTGAGTAAATCTAAAATTAAACATAGCGAGTATAATTTTAGTACTAATAGATCTAGTGGTGAGATTGTGATATTGGGTGATCAAGTTATTAAAAAGAGTACACATTTGAGGTATATCGGGTTTATTTTTCAAAGCAATAGTAAAATAGATTGGGAAATAATTAGTAAAATTCAAGTTTGATGGTTGAAGTGGAGGAATGCATCTGGCCAATTATGTGATAGAAAAGTACCCCTCAAACTTAAGAGAAAATATTATAAAATTGTGATGAGACTTGCAATGTGTTATGATGTAGAATATTGGCCATTAAAAGAGAAGCCTAAAATTAAGTTAAGAATTGTAAAAATGAGGATGCTCAAGTGAATGAGTGGCTTTATATTTAGAGACAAAATGCGAAACAAATATATACAAGCAAAGGTTGGAGTAGCTCCATTGGCAAATAAGATTAACTAGAGTCGTCTTAGATGGTTTAGTCACATAAAACGTTAGGCTTCCGATGACCCGGCTAGGATATGTATTAGATCCGGCCTATGTTAAGAAATATTGAAGTAGACCTAAAAAGACAGTTAAAAAGTATTAGAAATAACTTTTTATTATATTTAAATGAGAATTTGACTACTAATATGATACAATAGAGAAAAGGATTCATATAACCAACTCCAAGCAGCGGGATAAAGGCTAGATGTTTCTGTATTGGTTAATATTGATTGTATAATTTTCTTAATCAAAGACTGTATGGCTTAAAAAATGACCTATTAACATTTTGGTCATTTGAATTTTTATGTACAAATAAAGAGTTGGAGTAGGGCACAACGGCCCAACTGTAGACCTCCCAACCAAAATCAACAGTTTAATAATTTTTCACCATAACTTCAACAACAATTTTGTCACCTGACTTTTCAAACAACAACAACAAGCATTCCAAACAAAAGCTTTAATCACCTCGACTTCTGCCATGAGAAATGATAACAAAAACCTTCCAACATATTTCGAAATGGCGCTATCCTTCTAATGAGAAAGGAAATAGGAAGTAAAAGAAGTAAATTAATGTTTGATATCGTGAAAAATGACTAGGGTGAATTCGAATTGACACCACACAAAAACAAGTAGGTCAGAATGGAGAAGAAAATTCAATAAAGGCAACTCCAAATAGCTAGGACTAGCCTAGTAATGATAACGATGATATAAAGAATCATTTCTTAAATTCAGACTTCCTGTACTGTAAATGACCTGCTAAGCTTGTGGAATGCAATGTACAACCCTTCTGGTCAGGGTAAATATGACAATTTTGAATAACTTGTCAGCAAGTATTTATATCGAAAATCTTGTCAGCAAGTATTTATATGGACAACCCTTCAGCCGAAGAATTTATCGAACAAGTATTTATATCCATGATACCCAGCAACTATTAAGTAAATAAACAGCCCAGAAAATTAAACCACAATTTAGTAAACTCGATACATATGAGTGAAGCAAAATATATCCAATTTAGTAAACATTAAGGAGTAACACCATGAGCTGATTCCCTACAAATCACTTACCCATCAGGTGCTGTGCCAGGGGAAATTAGCTTGACAGGAAGGAGAGGATTAGCTACTGTCGACCAAAACCTGTGCAATATCAACGCGATCACATCAAAAAGTTAATCATTCAGGAAAATCACTTAACATATGATAAAAACAAGAGTATTAATCTATTGACTTGACGGATTAGAGCAACCAAGAAATACAATTTTAAATGCACCAGTGCCTGCAACGAAATCAATGCACTCCAAACGGTATAAATTAAAATGAACAAATCAGTGAGACCAGGAGTTTGTGCTTCACAAGGGATACAAATCTACACACCATGGGATGATATAAATCAAATGGTTCTTATGCAATAAAGGCTTCTTGCCACCATGATAAAAAAATACCACTCCAAAAATCTTCCGACAATGGAAAAATGGGAAATTGGTAGGGATGACAACCATCCCCAACACCCTTTTACTTAGGAAGTTATATAACGAAAGATATAAATTTCACTAATCGGGTAACCAGTTATAGAGAAAGTCAGCAAACCTAATTAATTGAATATGATCTGGCCATAGAGATTGCAAATAAATATGACTCATGCATACATAGAAAGTCTGAAAAAAAAAACTACAAAGAAATCTAGTGTTTTGAAAACCGAACTGAATCGGCCGGTTTAACCGTGAACCGATTAATTTGCCTGTTTGGTTAATTGTGAAAACCGGATTCACTTAAAATCTGGTCAAACTAATTTGAACTACTAATTTGACCCAAAACTATCGAACTGGATCAATTTTTTTGAACCGGCCGATTCTACAAAATATTATATTTTATTTTAATAAAAATTTTAATAGTATATTTTTGTTTTATTATTTTTTTATTTTAAATATTTATTTATAAAATATATACAAGCAAATTCAACAAGAATACATACCTACCACCTATGCAATTTATATTATATTTAAATAATTTAAATATTTATTATTTCATCCAGTCTAACCGCAATTGAACCAATGAACCATTAACCTCTGCTTCTTCCAATTTCATGTCCGATCCGATTTTCATAACCTTAAAGAAATCTTGATATCAAAGCTAAATAAGATTAATATGAACAAATTCCTCTTACAAACACCTCAGAGATTTTTCAATCCCATGTGCATCTAAGCACCTTGGTTTTGGCAAATCACAAGTATGTTTGCTCTATCTTGCTTTACTTTTACGCAACAATACTCTGAAGAAAGCTTGCATTACTATTTAACTTCTCGCATAAAACATGCATAAATTATTTAATATGTGCATTGTCCATGGTTATTTTGCTTTTTATATGATCTACTTATTATTTTTATGACTTCGCTTGGTTAGGTTAGCATCTAGTTCTAATTTTAGATACTTAGGCACGGGATATTACAAGTACATTGCCCATGTGAACGGAAAATGCAATATTCCTAGGGGGGAAACAGCATTTCAACAATTCATGACCTTTTTTTTACCATTTATCCGGCAATGCCCAATCTGGTTACGGTTGGAGGAATCTAAAACCATCATATTGTTCAATGCTTAGCTTTAATGCATCCTGATAATTATATATGTATTACATTCCAGTTTATACTTGTATCTGTGAAGAAAATCAAACCTTACATTCAATTTACAAAGATCAAAAAGGTATATTAATAATTTAATGAACTAGCTAGTTTATACATAAGTTTCATGTTTTTGACAGAGAAGTAAAATAGCTATAATGAGCATATCCAACATTAAATAGAGCGAAAAATATCAAGGAATTTTAAATGATTCTGAGGAACAATACATGCCTGAAAAATATTACAAGGATGAATACATCATAATTAGAATACAAATACTAAAGAAATGCAATAGCAAAAATGAGAAAAATAAGACAAATAGAAAAGTGAATAAGACATACGGATCTGCCCTATTGAGCCGGCATAACTCGCAATAGAAGGATGTAGGGATTTCTGGCATGATACCATCCAAAGGTTCCTCTGGTATAAGGACACAGCCAATATGTTGCCAAACATGGCACCGTGAATCTTCACACTACAATCAGGAAATAATAATTGTGCATAAAACCAAGACATAAAACAAACACAACTTACTCAAAAAACAAATGAACAAACCAAATAAATGTGCATTTGATATAAAAAAGTTTCATAAAAAACTTAACAATAAATTGCATGCAGGCACCATGCACACAAGTTATCACTAAAAAAACTGTTTTATTATGTCTATCATGATTTCGATATACAAAGGGAAATGAAAATAGCAATACCAGGAATCGAACAGGCAAAACTAGATCAGACAACACAATCCCACGGTGCTCTAAGAACAACCAAATTAGCTTGAATGGGTATAAAAGTATAGCAAATATATTATAGTTTACATATATTAAATCTTCTTACTACATTAAAATTTGATATTTAATATTAAACTAATAAAAAATAAATATAATTGAAAATGTTAAACCCTGTAAGCTTGATAAGCTTATTAAAGTTTTAATGATTACAAATATTATCTGTTGTGTTGATTCTTTACTGGTGAATTTGTCCATCCAAGCTTTCTAATTATGCTAACATTTCAGAGATAATATATAAAGACCAATACAATACTAAAAAAATAACTTGGATGGAAATCACTTGATAATATAATTATATAAGCTTGGTGCACTCATCCAAAGTTTAATTAAGAGACTCACAAAGTTTCTAAAGCCATCAAGGAGAAAGAAGTCCGCCAAAGACTTATATACTGACACTTTTTTATTTTGTTGATTTTTCTCGGAAGTACCAAGTATACAATTTATGTAACAATTAAGTACACACCCAAGAGCTAAATTAAGATAAAGAATATTTTAATAAATGGCTTCAAAAATAATAATAATTAATTAAGATAAATTGATTTGAAGTAAATCGTACGATATGATCTATATCATATTGTGCAATATGCATGAGATTTTGGGTAACTCTGAAAAAAATCAAAATATAAAATCATATTAATTAAAAGTAAATTCAAAATTAAAATTCTAGAACTAATCGTATGTTAGGCCGGTCCAACCTGGACCAGCCCAGCCGGTCCGGGTCTTCTCTAGGCGGAAGCGGGACGCACAGCCGGCGGAAGAAGCAGGGGGCTTGGGGGTGGGGTCCACTAGCAATTCAAACAAAATTTAAGTGATTTGGGAGGGAGAATGAAGGGTAGAGATGTCCTTTTGCTTTTGTTTTGAATTAGATTGTATTAAGAGGGAATTAACCTAGGTTTTAGGTTTATCTTGATTATTGCTTGTGTGCTTGAGAATTGCTACTGGGGGAGGTCGTGGGGCTCTAGATTTTCATCTAGAGAGCGTCGCGAGAGTGGATCCTCCTCTCGAATAGAGGATCATTGTATCGGTTCGTTATTTTTTTTGCAATTCAATCAAACAAAGAAGATTTTTTTAGGGTTTGAGGCTAATAGTACTAATTGTGTTGTACAATCATTGGAGCGGATTGTACTATCAAGCGGACATGTTTAAAAAATAGTCTTTTTAGGATTTCTAATGAATCTAGCATATAAATATGCTTATGTAAAAATTCTATGATGTGATTTTTGAAATAAAGGCTGCTAAGAACTTTGGGTCTTAGGAAGAATAACTTTTCCATGCAACTTCTCTTTTCCTTTTGAGTGTTTCAATCTTTGCTTACAAAGGTTCTTGTGAGAATTTGCACCATTGGTTGTTTCCTCATATCATATCCTTCAACCCTCAGTTCAAATCTCTAGTTCAAGATGTAATATCTAATGTCTAAGGTAAATAAAATTTATTTTAGTGGAATTGTGATATTTTTTATAAGTATATAATTTAATATCAAGTAAAAATTGGTAATTGTATTAAGAAATATACTAAATTAAATTAGATAATCATTTAATTATGAATGGATGAGTAGATGCTTTCAAGGGCGGTGAAGAGCAATTAACAAGCGGGCCGCATTTCCATTAAAATTGCTTTGATTCACGCATGCCAGCAATGAAAAGCGAATAAGGGACTGGAAGGTTTCCGCAATGCAGGAATCACTGTTCACCAATTTGGCAGTGTCCAGAAATCACTGTAGCTGGAGTCGGCACAATGCAGCGCACAAGAAGGTTTCGGCACAGCGCTTGCAGGCATTGTAGATCAGTTAGGCATAAAGAGTGTTTGGCAGTAGTTTTCTTTGAATAATCTGCTGTGAAGAAATTCTGTGAAACAGAATTTAAAAGGAAGTGCTAGATGTAAGTAGAAGATCAAATAATATTACAGATTTGGGTAAGTAAATATGTAATTACTTATAACAAGATTAGCAAAATATTGTTTGGGTCTATGGCTAAATTCTACAGCAGGATTTGTAAACAGGAATTTTGGTAAAGAAGTCCAGATAAAGGAGAATACTAAAGAAGCAGAGAAAAGAAGTTAAAAAAATTTATCATTGATTATATGCAGGGAGGAAGTTACGAGGTAATTGGTTTTATATGTATGGATTGGTTTTATACAATTTGTATGTGTAATAAATTTTAGTATTTATAGAATTAGAGAAATGACTTATAGGTAACGCCTCAGCAAGGAAGTAATCCAAAGTTTTAATTAAAAAATATATAGTATCGTCGTAGACATGTGCACTAATGTAGAAGGATACTCGTTAAAGTTGATGATTTTACATTATACATATAACAGTCAAGAATTCATGTATGAGACAGCTCTGGTAAATTTGAATGAATCAGATGTAGGGTAAAGTGTAATATGAGTATTTAAAGATTTTTCTAGTTGAAAATATCTTGGAATAAAATTTTATTCTTAACAGATGACATACACAATTTCTATATACAAACGGTAAAACAAAAATATCATGATGAAAGCATGTGAAAAATATGAACTTTTTTTTTTATGTAAAAAATATGAACTTTGAATATATGAAGTGTAGTGAATATCAATTTAACGTGAAGTTTGGCTATAATATGATGTATAACTTATAATTACAGGTGGGGCAAAAAAGTCTCTACATATTACACTACATTGTAAGTGGGGCATATGGACCCCAAAGATATGATACTTGCATAGCATGTGGAGCAAAAGAGAACCCTAAAGAGGTAAAAGGAACTTCAATGTAATTCAATCGCGATAATGTTAGGTTTACCTGAGCTCCATAGAATATTCTTATGAAAGTTAGACAAATCTTTAAAAGACTAAATTTGATATTCAGTATAGACTTCAGAGAAAGTAAAGACTAATGTTAAATATGATTTTATGATGTTTCACAATTAAAGGTAAGTTTATTCAATGATGATTTTAATGTTGTGATTTATTACGATTATTGTATTTTAACAGCTATTTAATTTGCAAAATTTATTGAGCCTCATAGCTCACCAGTTCAATTCATGCTGGTTCTTGTTGCATAAAAAGGAAAGGAAAAGGTTGTTACAAAATAATCTTCAAATTCTTCATTTTATATGTTAATGTTTATCTCTGTTTGTGAGTTTATATTTGAGGTATGTAGACAGTTCAGTGGTGTAATATTTAAAATTTCTTAAGTGGCTCTGCACTCTGAAGTAATTGTGTAGATATTATTGGATCTCTATGAAATTGTTGGAATGTTTATTCAGATGATGAAAAGTGTTATGTTTGTGTGTGTAACATTCTACAATATTGTTAAGGGATATTATGAGGTGTTACACAAGAGCTTTTGAGCTTAGCTTATAGATATCATTGTGATCTTATGGTTTCTTTCTTCTTTTTTTTTCTTCTGGAACTAGCCAGTTCATTAACATAATTTTTTAAAGGATTTATGCCATGATTATTAGATAAGTTTTACGCAGGTTGTTGACTACCTAACGAACCCTTCACTTTTCTCATCCAGGACTTGGGATCTGGCAACTGCAATGTTACACTGGTGGATGAGTGGCTTTACCCTTAGAGATGGGATACGAAATAAACATATACGTGAAAAGGTTGGAGTAGCTCCAATGGAACATAAGATTAGAGTGAGCCGCCTTAGATGGTTTGGTCACATAAAATAACAGCCTTCCAATGAACCGGTTAAGAAAGTAGAGGTATTAGATTTGACTTATGTTAAGAAAGGTAGAGGTAAACCTAAAAAGATTTGATTAGAAAATATTAGAAATGATCTTTCTTTATTAGATTTAAACGAGAATTTGACGTTTAGCATGACACAATGGAGAAAAAGGATTCATGTAGCCGACCTGTTTGAGTACGACCGCAACGGAAGAGTCGACATTCTCCGTTCACCCTTCTTTGACGTGGGATTCGACTTCGACGACACCCAGGAGGAGTACTTGGACCGGATCTTACCAACTCTCGTGGATTCTATAGACGATCACTTCTCCGTCTATACGTGGATCATCGAAGGCCGTCCATCCGCTCCCTCGAACCCGACTTCAAACCCTGCGACAAGTCCTCTCAAGGTCACCTGTCTACTAGTGGCGTCGCTAAGCCTGCTCACAGTTCTCTTCTGCTAAACTCCACCTCAAGTTGAGTGACGGATCCTAAGGTGAAGGGTCTAAATTTTAAATTTGGGGCTTTGGTATTTTAGCTATTTGCAATACTAAATATTTTAGATGATATTTTGAAAAGCTTTCAAATCTCGTACTGTAATTTCTTATTGTTATCTAAACATTCATATTTTAATTCTTGAACGTCAATTGATTACGCATAAAAGTTTTAGTCACAAGCTTGGTTCAAGATCTTATTTAATTTCCAGTGCAATTCTCATATCATCACATGATAGTTTCACATCAAAATGCCAACATATCATAAAATGTTAAAAATCAATGTAAACAATTATAGCTAAGCTTAACCCATCTAATAAAATCAATCAACAAGAACCTCAGAAAACACTACTAGACTCCTTCCTTATCAAGGCATGTGACAAAAAAAAATCCAGCCTATCCATTTTTAGAAGTATGCAACTAGGTCCATCCCTAACTCTCACAATAATGCATGGAAATTGATCGCTTTATGCTGACAATCAATGCAAACCATGATATCTAAAGCTTATTCTATCTTATAAAATAAATCAACAAGATCCTCAGAAAACACTTCTAGACTCCTACCTTATCAAGACATGTGACCTCTCTCTCACAAACACACACACACCCTAGCCCAACCAGCCATGGGTTCGGGTAGCCATAAGGTGTTTCCCATACAAGGCATCACTACTCTCTGTCTCTCTAAGCACTGTCCCACTTAGCGCACCTTGTAAATATTCTAACATGCCAACTAAAAAATGAGAAAATTAACAGCAAACACATGGTTTCTGACAGATATGGACTAGTATACATCAGAGAGACCTAATAAAACAGCACCTATGCATTCCTAGCAGCAAACAAAAGGGAAACATCTGCCAATTACCCTAGTGAAGATGCAGGCATGATTACCTGAATCATTGACTCTGAGTAATAAGTAACCCCACAAAAGCAACGAACTTTCATATCCAGGCGACTGGTTTCATCCCTTTCCTCTGGAGGATTTGCAGTTTTTACATCTGGAATATGGTTTTTTGATGCCAAATCATTAGCACCAGCAAGTTGCATTTTTCTGCAACAGCAATGAAAGAGAAAAGCAAAGCAACTTTATAACACTTGTATAACATTATATTAAAAAACATCAAAAATTATATTGCAAGCCCCGAAAAGAACGTCTATTATGGTATCAAGTAGTAAAACACACTACTTTTATGCCTGATAGTTTGCCAGAGTATATAGAAGACAGAATAAAAAAGATAAATAACAGAGCGAGCTGCATGACAAGTGTTGAATTCACCTGTAGGTATCATCGACAATCTTTGCAACTCTATCTTTTCCGATAGAAACTTTCTTGGCTACACCAGGTGTTGCAACTACAGAAAAGGAATTTTTAAGCCTCAGCAAATCAAAAGCACATACTGCACATAGAAAATAACAATAGCAAAAATATGGTAGAATACTTGCACATATCATTGTGCAGTACAGTTCATAATTAACAAAGGGCTGGTATTGCAGCTTTTGCTCAAAAGTCTTTTCTTCAAAAAAGACTTCAAAACGCATATTTCAACAGGACAAGGTTTTTAATTGTTTTGTCTTCTACTATAGTATGCGTTTTGAAAAGTAAATCTTGAGACTATGAACTCGAATAAGATGACGATTACAGAAGTCTCATCAAACCTTAGCCTTATTACAACTACTTTGAGGTCAGCTTTATGAATCTTTATTCCCCATTTTGATCCTTCCTAAGTGGCACCCTAAATCTACCATATTTACAAAAACACCGCCCATTAAAATAAAATGCACTAGCAAGCCCATGTACTTGTGTGACCATGATCAAACTATTGGAAATTTGATGTAAGCAAAAAATATGGGTTGTGTTTCAATAAATAGGAGTTGATTTGATAAATGGAGATACAAGAGTGTTAATTTTGTAAATAGGTAAGATTTAAAGAGATTTGAAAAGTATGTCTGAAATTGGCCATAATTAAAAATACATGTATCAGTACTCTAATAACAATACTAGAGTGGAGAACATTGAAAAATATATGAAAAAGCAGATTAAGCAAAACAAAATCTTCCTCTTTAGAACATTGAAAAAATTTGGAGAAAATCTTCATAGAACATTTTCTTTTCCAAAGATACTCGTCTAATTATATGCCTTTTGATATTCCAAGGGGATGCTTCCTCTATAGTAAAGACCAATAAAAAGCCGTTCAACAAAAAATGATGCAGTTCGGAGAGAAGAAAATAAGCATTGCCTTGTTCATCTGAAAGAACTGATAATATTCTATCCATGAGATCCTGCAATATTACACAAAAACAATAATTAAATTAGTTCGAGTGACAAGTGACAGGTAGAAAGGAATGGCAACTTGCTTTGTACATAATAAAAATTAAATTTTGGCAAAATCATCGCTCCTCATCCACCAAATTCAACAAAAATAATAAAACAGAGATTTTGAAGGTGCCAAGATAGATTTATGATGGACAGATGCAAAAGATGCCAACAAATACAATCAGTAATTCACTGCCTTCAATGCACCCATCCCCAAGTCCGCCATCAAGTTTATCTGGGCAATTTGATGAGGACATCGGCAGAAAAACCTGGCCCGTCTGCCATAGGAGGAGCCGTAGATTGACGGCCATGATTAGGAGTCTTTATTTATAGTCTATTTTCTTTATTATTGTATTTTATTTTGAGAGCCTCTTCCAATTTACCCTTATGTTGAGTTAAATGAGTGTTGTAGCCCAGGGGGCATTTTAGTCTTTTGAGTCCTTGATGTTTTGAGGCCTATATATTGAGACCCTTGGCTATTGTAGGAATATGATGAATATTATGAATTAAACTTCACTTTTTCTAATTTTTGTGTATTTGAGTCTTCTTGAGAGAAGAGTGAAGTCCCTAGGAGTAGGGCAACGCAACACCCAACAACCGGCACCATGGCAAGGTTCTTGGCTCTATCTTCTCTCCCTCCTCACCCATCTTCCTCCATTAGCTGCTGAGCCCTCCAACCCCCTTCAAACTTGTCGGCCAATCCCTTCTTTCCTCTTAAATCATCCAACCGAGCCTTCCCCCTCTTCCAAACAGCTGACCGAAATTCCCTACTGCCCCATACAGCCAAGCCACCTCCCCTCTCATCCATTCCCACTCACCTGCAAGCCCACCCTTCCTCTCCTCCCATGGCTGGCCAAGCCACACTCCACGTGCATCAAAAAGCTGAGTAGATCATAAAAGCATGAACAAGAAACAGAACATGGCAAATATAGAATATGCATCTAAATTACCTTGCTTTAAGTTGTAGTTAAACATCAGTCAGCCTGCATCTTTAAACTTAATTCTCAAGCACATATCTGATGTATGCCAATAGAGGACTTCATTTCAATCCATTAAATTGGATTGGATCAACAATATGATGCTAAAAAACTAGCAAGTGCATTTTGGTCCTACTTTTAACTTCTGAAAGGTTTTTTCAGTTCCAAGTACAGTTTCAAGACTTACAACATTAATTCTAACAAGTATCCTAACCAATATTTCCAATATATGGCTAGTCGAGTCAGCAAAATTAAATGATGCACAGAAATATTGCAGCAAATGAACAATGTTGCCAACCAAGCATGAAGGCAAGATACTGGCAATAAGAAAAATAAAGCTTTTGCAACCGTCTGACAAAAAGACATCAGAAACATATCAAGAAAAATATTTTTATTTTGATGATGAAACTAATTAGATACAATTTGTTAATGAATTTCTCCTATAATCCAATCCTCTTCCAGTTAGTAATTATCCTTGCAGACCACCAATTTTTGTATCCATGGAAGAGAAGCAGCATGTATAATACAGCTTTGAATATTATATAATGCAAGAATAAATATTTGCAACAGGCAGATCAAAAGGATATGACCAAAGAGTCGTCTGGAAAAAAATCAAGATAACCCGGGCTTTATGACTTGAAATGAAGTAACTAAAAACGACAAGTCAACATAATGATCTAACATGGCACAAGAAACACTAATAAAAACATAAAAGAAGAAAAATAAAAATGACCGCATTTAAGTATGGCAGACTACCAAGCAACCTTCAAATATTCAATCCCAAAATAAGAAATAAATTTTCCTTTTATTTTAGTTTGATCAAACAACAATTATTTATGCTGGCAAGAATAAAATTAAACGCATCTTAGACTTCAAGCAATTAAAAGAACGATAAATTGTAAAAAAGCAGGAAAGCAAATGAATAAGACCAGCAAAATACTTCAGTGCGTTAAGCTTCTCAATCATTCCAAAAGTTTATTATTAAAAATGTGCATTGAAGTGTGCTTAAACTGTGAAGAGGTACAATCAAAGTACTCACGCATCACAGTTTTCTCACACTCACAAAAAAGTTGCATATGTTGCACATTGCTTAAGTGTATAAGTGCACATGACTTTAAGTTCGGCTTGAGGGCCAATTGGGCCAACCGATAAAATGAAGGAATCAATTCACTCAAAGAAGAATCCCTAGAGCACGCACACATCAGAAATGAAGCTTGGAACCTTCTCGTTCATGCACTTGTTCATTTATAGTTTCTCCTCCACAAGAGCAGACACAAACACACACCTCAGGACCGTGTTCATGCATTCATCCATTTTCAATTTCTCCTCCATGCGAGTAGACAGCAACAACCTCAGAAGTCCTCATGCAACCCTCGGCACACAAAAGCATCTCTTGTTCTCACATAGTCTTCAATAATTCTTAGGTACTTGTCATTCCTTATTGACTCAATTCTTATCACAATTTTTAAATCATTAAATTTTATTTATTTTTCAAAATCTAAATTCCTTGTGAATATCCTATTTAGATGATCTATAAAATCGTTTGAAAATTTTTATATGTAGTTTCTTTGGATTTATTTTAAAATTAAACAAGTCTTTGTTGCAATGTAAAATTGTTACTTAAAGTGATTCAAGTTTCATTATGATTATTGCATTCACATAAATGTAAACATGATATATAAATCATGAGTAGTCTAGTTAAATGTCGCTTTATTTTGCACTTTGCATATTGAAGTAAAAATGAATAATTTCATCATTTTTGTGCTTAGCACTTTTAAAAATTGTTCCACAAATAAGTATTAACATATTCTTTATGCGTAAGGCATTCTTATCATATTAACTGCCATGAAACTCAACTTTCCTTTGAATGTTTTAACAAAATCAAGAATCCAACAAAAAAATCATTTCAATTATTTCAAGAAACCATACAAGAAAGAGTACGGTTGCCATGAGATGTTTGCAGCAATGTAAACCAATCAACACTTCATAAAATAGCCATGCATTCATCAACGTTATGTCGAAGTTTTTTTATTGTCAAATTAAACTCCAACGGTCCAACCCTTATCGGTACAAGACACGGAGGGGACACATTGATGAAGCGGGACATATGAGTATGTGGTTTGGTACTCAAACTCACATTTCTTACAGAAGTTGCGCCATATCATCTCCCCTTCTTTGCATCTCACGAGACTCATGTCTCCATAAACATAACTAAAGACATTCACACTTCTCCACCCTCGAAGTCTCAATCCTCCATCTTTGCCAAAGCCAAAAACTCAATCCCACTCTTTGAACTTTCATCTCCACCATCGCTAAAGCTGAAGACGAATAAATCTCGAATCTTTGTCGAAGTTGAGGCACCTTAACCTAAGATCAATAATAGATAAGGCTCTCTATCATAGCCTATTCAAATGAGATTTGAATAGTCTATTTTATGACTGTTCTTCCACTCCTGGTTCTAGAATTTCTTTTTTTTTTTTTATGTCCAACTTTTTACAATTACAATATGTCACAATGTCCATGTCATGTCGTGTTCGTCCTTCATGGTCAAAAGCTTTTTTACTTTCTTATTAATGGACCTATTTGAGGCAACTTTCTAACTGCTTTGTTTTTCAAACCACAACCACACTTTTCGTTGGCAGCTGCTTTCTTACTATTTTCTACTTCCTTTTCATAATTTTTTTTGTGGTGAGTAGTTACTTTTTGCAACCATATCTATCAATAAGTGGGAGCCATAAAAAAACTGTCTGATTTTACAAAAAAGAACATATTTATAATACCCACAGTAATTTTCAAAAAAGTTATTTTTTCAACAATAACTTCACAAGCACCTTTAACAAAAGCTACAACCACCCCAAACAAACCTAATATTTTCTCATGCTAACTTTCTATCTCCCAGTTCTCTTACTAAAAAATTCAACATGCACATCAATAGCTACTTAACCAATGTGTACTTCAACCCATTTATCAAAGATTTTGTTATGAATATTTTTCAATCATGGAGCACCCAAACAGTCCAAGATTGTTCAACTTTATCTACACATGAAAACAATAGGACAAAAGTTGATAAATTTTCAATATGATAGCAATATATTAACCAAGAAAATTCAGTAAATAAATGATAAAAATGGTAGAGAAATAATTCACTAATTATGGTTATTTGATTATTTCACAATATCTTTTAAGGAATCTATTGTATAACATCATGATGATTGGCAAAGGCTCTTCATAAGATCGAAAGCTAGAGCCTAACAAAAGGAGGAGCATGATACTGAAAAATTAGTATTTAGATATGTTGTAAAAAAATTCTGATTTAAATTTAAATTTCAAATTCATTTTTTATTTTAAAAATTAAATTTCAAATTTTGAATTTGAACTTTAATTTAAGTTAATTGCTTTGATTTAGAATTTTAGATATGATAAATTCCTACTCGCATGGCCAGAAAACCGCCCTTCAAATCAAACTTGAACATGCTTAAAATGAAGTTGGTTAAAGTAGTTTGAAGCACTCCCTCTTTGTGAATCATAGATCTTCCCCTCCCTCTCTTTTAGAATTTGAATTTCAATTGAGTAGGAACATTTTTAATGATTTAAATAATTGTTGATTTAGTAATGAAAGCAGTTTTAGCATTGTTAAAAACATTTGAGAATTATTTCTTGGCTCTAGGCTCAATGGCCAACCCTTGTTCTTCTTCTTTGGTGAAAGGAACTAGTCATCGTGTTTATCATTGGATCCTTCTCAACGTCTATTCTAACAATATTATCATCTCCTACATCCCTAACTACTCCTTAATATCATTTCAAAAGCCTAGACATCCATACAAAAGATCAGACTCCAGGAAGCTCTCTGCCAGCTCTCCTTATCCTAAATCTAGTTTAGGAAGAACTTCTCCGAGCATTTAAACCCTAAACCACCACTCCAAAAAATCCAGATCGATCCTCCACACATCACACTAGCCATCCAAAGTCAATCCACCCCTTGAAAGAAA